AAGAAAATTCATACTGTGTCCCAGTTCAAGCTTTTTTTAAAATTTAAAATCAAAGACGGCAATAATTTTCAGGCCTGTTTATCAGCGCAATTTTTTAGCTCCATGTGTAGCGTAACATTGAGTCCGACATATTGACACGCAAATGAATAATCTGTGAAACAAACAGGGCGGTGACTCAGTGTCAGAGAAATAGCGCCCGATAACACGGGCTTTCAACGGTTAAATTCTAAGGTCACGAAACCACGAAAACAAACATTATCTTTGGGAGTGGTTGAATTATTAGAACAGAAACGGAAATTATATTTTGAGAGGCCATCATCTTGGATATAATTTGAGTGGTTGAACCATAAAAACGAGAAAGAAACGCAGATTTCGAGACAAAAAGGTTCCGACGGCCGTTACATGCACCACACTAGCACCACACAGTGAAAGAGTTTATTGTAGTGTTTTGTAAACAATGTCTCTGCTCATTCTCGCTGCCTCGAAAAAAAAATCTCCCAATCATTCTGTCGTGGTACGGTTTATCTTATTTAGGATTTGGTGGCCCTGGTACAATTCCGTTTTTATTTCCCAATAGTATGAGCGTTGTCAAATTCGTGGTGCTAAGACGAGTTTGCAGATTACAGAACGTTTTTTCTCGCCGAAATGCATTTTGCCAATCAAAAATCGTAATTCACGCATCGGTGAGGTGATTAGCATACGACACCATTTTGACCCAAAAGACGCACTCGGAGAATAATTTTCAGAAGTTTCGAAAAACAACTTTCGTAAATTAATTTGCCAAACTAAAATATGGCAACTTTCTTGAAAATAGCATCATTCAACAAAAAAATACGGTAATTTCGTCCTTCTTAGGCAAGCATTCAATCATTTGCGGCCTCGGGTGATTTTCAGACAGTTCGAAATTTTCAGAAAAACGTTTTTTTTTTGTTTTTTTTAAAGATACAGTTGGACTAAAACACCAACGTTCTTTTAAATAGTATGATACAAGTAAAAATTACGATGATTTGATCAACAGATGTTTTATTTTCTCGAAAACAGGCAAAACATTCTCAAAGACAGCTACATCATTGAACAAAAGAGATGCA